GTCGCTGGTGGAAGGAGTCAGTGGATGTGGCCAATGCCCTCTCGCAGCCGTTCCACCAATAACGTTGGCAGTAACTGCGCGCCCCCAGCCCCTGCGCACACTGCCCTTAAGGCTGAGCGATCAATGCGGTTTTTGTCTCGTGCTGTCCCAAAGCATAAAAGTCTATCCCTGATCCGGAAAGCGGATAGCAGGCACTCTATCCCGAGCTCTCTTTGAGTTCTGATCAACTAGCTCTGCCAAGGGCTTGACCACTAGGGATAGAGGTACCGCGTAGCCACAACCGATTATGTTTCCTAACTCCACTAACACTGCCACGAGGAACTGCCCAGGTTTTCATCGTTTTGGATATATCTGGTCATCACAGAGAGCATCCTACTGTTGAAACCAGACGCTTTGTAGAACTATTGAAACGGGAGATTCAATGTATTATTAATATCAAGCTAAGGAGATCCGTGTTGTGGCATCGTTACAAAATCAGGGATGCAAGAGGCGTCGCTTGCGCGGCCTTTATCAGGACCTGATTGATTGACTAGAAAGTGCTTCAGTAACATACTTCGCGTAGACGCGCTGTAACGCGCTGTAAGGAGCGTCGTGGCATCGTAAAAGAGCCCCTGTCCTATAGAGGCGAACGCAACAGCAAACGGGAATAGATCGACGCCGACCGCTTGCGTTCTGGGGGAGTATAAATGAGAGGACAAGCGCTGCCTTCACACAATTTGGTACTCTCCCAGATCCACTGCGGCCAATGCCGATCCATAGCACCTTGCGGGACTAGAGTGTGGCATACCCTTCTGTTCCATCATACTCTCTTAGTACACAAACGGCCAGCGCCGATAGATTCCCGTCCGCAGGTGCATTCACATCTACAGGATTAAAGCGCCGTTGCAATTGTAGCGCGTCGACGCGCGCTACAGCGCGTGATCGCGAAGTCTGATCGCTACCTAAGGTGAAGTAAGTAGCTCCGTGTCAGCACAAAGTGCAATGATTTCCTGTCACGCACCCTGATTTCAAAATCTCCTACGCTCCGTTATTGTCGCTTTTGGGACCGAAGATTGAAGATAGGTGGAAGGTGGTTAACTCTAAGCAGCCCATCCTAAATATCGTCTTTTTATAGGGAAACCTACATTGTAGTATTTCTCGAACGATGGCTTCCCACGAGCTTGTGTGATAGCAGCTTTAGCGAATTTGAAGTTGTCTACGAACGAGATGTACGTTTCGATCATCGATTGCTTTGCAAACTGAAACCTATTGATTGGTAACATAATACAAACTTTACTCCATAGAAACTAACATCCACAGCAGCGGAATTTTTTTGTCGTTGGTATAACTCCTTATCTCTGAGATGCAATAGGCGTGGCTCTGTGACTTCATTTTAACATGGCGCATGACGGGTTATTCGTGGAGCATTTTAATTCAGGAAAAATATCGTGCCTTGTATTCGACAGCGATATCATTACAATACTGCCCCAAGTCCGAACGATGTACGCAGTCACGCCTAGCACACCTCAGGGATTTGGGGTATAGAATGTGACAGTGAGAACATCGCCATGACTGCTGTCCTTCGTCGCATTCTTCATTCTTGAGCCTGAGTGCGGCAAGAAGGAACTTTGTAGAAAATCTTATCAGCCAATCCGGATTCGATGAGCGTACACTCTAGTGGTTGTCGCAAAGGCCGCATGTATTTCTGTGAAAAAATCCATTAGAACATGACCTGAGAAACTGCAAGTTGTCAGCCAGGACAAACATGCCTACCGGACAGCCCCGCCCACCCTCTAATAAAGAAGAAGGTCTCGACTAATAAAGAATGCAGTTCTTGAAACACTTTTGGAGAGAGAAAACAAAAAAGGTTTCAAGTTGTCACTGACCGTAATGAGGAATTCCAGGCCTTCAACGAACGATTTCTCTGTATCGTATAGCTCTCGAGCGGCCAAATTTCGAACACTGAAATAGGTCGATAGGGGGCTCATGATCAATAATAAAATGGGTGGAGCCGGTCCCACAATTGTGTCCCGTCATTGGCGCGCTTATCAGGGCACATCCTTCCATTGGGGAAAACCTTGCAAAATACGGCTCCCCTCCAAACTTCTACCTCAGACACGATCTCCACCATTCCTACTTCTCCACTCTACCTACAGTCCTAACTTTTTCCAGCTTTCCCGCTTCTTACCACCTTGCCGGAAATCTTTTCCAAAAACTCGTTCAAATTCCTCTTCAGAAAATGGCTCTGAGCGGGGGCATATAGCGGATTGAAACAGGAAAAATCGTAAAAGTCTTTCTGACAACGACAAACAACCCCCACCCACCTCCTCCAATAACCAGATACGACCACCTTGCTGGGAATCGTCAACGTACGACTACCCTGGCGCTACTTGTTGGAGAAGACGGCTGCAAAATTGCTCGGAAATCAGTCGTTACGAAAGACCGGTAAACAAGTACAATGGTAGGCCTGACTCCGCCCACGCGACCAGAATGGAATGGTGTCTTCAGGCTATGAATGAACTAATTTGAAATAACAATGTCGCCTATGACATAGCTCTACCTGTAATGCTTCCTAAGACTGGCCCGAGAGCGCTTCTTCCACAACAGGATATCGGCCTGCAACAGAGAATCCTCCATACGGCATTCTTCACCTGCAGACTCGGAAAAGCCATATGGCCGCCTGAAACAGGTATTTCTCAGAAATCCAGCGGAAGCTTCAGTATTAGGCCTCAATTTTCAACAGTAAGCAACACATCATCCTAGTCTCTAAAATTTCGAATTAACTAGAAGGTTAAAGAATTTTGAGGATACCTCGCCCTATCCCTACTTCGCCTACCAGGAAAAAATTAATCATATGGGGAGTGGAACGTTACATCTATATTGCGGCCAGAGGCACAAAACAGATAAGATCCTCAAAATTCATCATATACCGCACAAAAATTGAAATTCCACATAAGATCAAATTCATCAAAAAAAAAGAATAAAAAAAAAAAAAAAAAAAAATAACGAAAAAAATAAAAAAAAAAAAAACATATACGCACAAAAAAATGGAATTTCCACATAAGATCAAAAGGTCTTGGTGCGAATGGCCGCGCAACGTGACACTGCAGCAAGCTTCCTCATGCGCAGACGTGGATGTGGAGTAGTCATAGCCGAGATAACACATTGATGGGGTTAAACACTGAGTCAGCGGCAAGGAGATGGATAGGTACGTGATGCCGCGCTATGGCGCGTGGTGATAGACTCTGTCCGGGAAGCAGAAAAGTCGTGGCCGTAGGTAGTTTCGAGAATCGACTGACACCGCGCAGACTCCTCTATGAGCGTTGGGTTCCTAATACAAGTGACGGCTGAATAAGTGCGATACCACACACATAGTCTTCTGCTGAAAGAGACATTGTTTTTAACAGACTGATCAACGACTTATTCAGAGATGTTAGCACAACGAAGGAGAAACCGTCACAAAACTTTCTCATGCTTTCGTTCTATTTTACGAGCACTACCTTTCCTGAAAATCCTATCCGTTGGCGGGAATGGCTGGCGAAGTTGAAGCAGCCCTAACGTTTTGATGATGTGTGAGTCAAATCAAGTCAAGGCGAAGAGGAATGGCCCTGAGGGGAAGGGGAGTCTTCTATGCAAGCAAGATTCGGATCACAAATTTTAGAGTTCAAGCAGCCATCACCAGGGCGCATAATGCTCACACACCGCTTGCGTGGAGTCTGGTTTGATGAAAAAAGGGGTCTCGACTGAGAAAAGTGGAGATTTCCACTAGTTGAGGCTAGTATAGGCAGAACTGGGATAAGGCAAGAATTGAACTTCTTTGGCCGTAAGGGGAGGAAGCTGCAGTGTATGAGAATGGCTGGGTGATTGGCCAAACAGTTTATTCTCTAGCTCCGCCCGTAGGTTTTCATGAGAGTTTCGTCCCGGTAACCTTTGGTGAGCTGTTTCTATAAAGCCGCCTGAACGGTAAAGAGGTCGTAAGCAGGTTAGAGATGAAACACAGATGATAAGAATATATGTGGCGAACTCGGCGATCTCTGTGACAAAGGAATAGGGGCAAAGGAAATTCGTTGTAAGTGGATCGACCGCTTGAGCTTGAGAAAGAGTCTGACGAGGGTCATGACTAAGACAGCCGGTGTCGCGACGAGAGGATTACCGCGTGAAATTAGTGGGATCGCATGTATTCAAATCGGCAAATCCCAACGTCTCGAATGCACAACTCAGGTAAAGGCAGAGCGTCGATTTGCACAGTATGTGATTCACCTGCCGAACTGGACGCGGCTATAACTGGAGTAACTCCTCGGTAATTCTCGCCTCGAACGTCGATGTCCACGAAACACTGAATTCGATTGTATTATATGATGAACGGTATGTCAGCACACCTTTGATAAGGACTGATACACAATTCCCAACTGCGAAAGATCTTTAGACGACTGGAAAAATGCTGCAGTGTCCTAGTTTTGACAAACTTAAATATTCGAAGCAGCGTTTAGACTTCGCCTCGACGTGCTGTAACGCGCTATGAGGCGCGTCGACGCGCTAAAATCACAACAGAACTTCAAAGCTGTAGACACGGAAACAGCCGCACACGGCAAATCCCAATCGATACCATTCTGCTTGAATCAGGCAACACCCACCATTCCCCCCTATTCCCCCCCATACTCTCTCATAACACAAGCGCCCGGCGCGCATCGATTGAACGCTCGCAGATGGAAATGGATCAGCGCTGGTCGTCTACGGCTACAGCTTTGGAGCGCTGTAGCAATCATTGTGCCTCGACGTGCATTGCAGCGCATTACATCGCGTCATCGCGAACTCTGAACGCTCTAGGGTCTAACACGAAAAACACTGTGCCCTCAGCAGATGTTGCCTGACGTCTTTCCAGCTGCAACATGCCGGCACGTACGCCCACCGAAACTGTCCACCCACAAATGACCTTACTGGCCAGCTGTAGATCAGGATCGAATCGGCTGCTATCACCCGCAACCTGCCGTCAACTTGTGTTTTTCACTTAGCTGGGGATCCCGCTAGAAAGGTAAGTTGCTGTGAGTAATGAAAATATCGTCCCCAGGCATATTGTGAAGGTATCCTGCATTGAGAATATCACTAGACGACATGATACATGTGGAAATCTAGATCCTTTACTGTCTCATCCGCTTCGTATGATGGGCGGGCGTGTCAGGGGGGTTTCGCACGTCCCCACTCTATTTCTTCTCTTTTCCTTTTTCATCGGCAAGCAACGAGACTATGACATACCACTGATACCAGTCGCTTTCCACCAACTGTTGGCGCTTACCTCCTCCAACAACTGGTGGAGAACGGGCTCGCGGCGCGCCAAACCAGGCCTCACAGGCACGCCCCTCCATCCTCTGCGAACAAGACAGTAAGAATTGGTAAATGGTACTCTAGCTGTCCAGCCGATTTAGCCGAGGTTCAACGATATTGCGGGAAAGTTTAGGGTTCTAGCCAAAAACCATTAAGTCAACTTTTTCACCTGCTTCCTCGTGAATTTATGGGATTTATCGGCTGCTCCGAATTGCTGAGCACATCATTGAGCGAGATGAACCCATCAGGTGCAGACGGTTTCCTTGAAAGCGATGGGCGTCCACCACGATACGTGTCTGGTGCTGATACAAAAACATCGTTCCTGAAGCTACCGTATAGTTTACAGTAGAGTACAGTAATCATATTACGCACATTACTGATGAAGACTAGTTCATTACAAAAACCAGGGCGTGTTTGCAATGTGAATCATAAACGCTTCAAAAAGATTTCCAGCTCGAAGTGGAAACGAGCGTTCAAGCATTAAACTCTTTACAGCGTTCAAGAAGCCCCCTCCTACAAAACGAAAATTGCTAGAGTTTTGGAACCGAGAAGTTTGAACCTTACCGAGGCACAGATGGACAAATTTCTTACCCCATCGACGGCAGGAATTGCATTACTCCTCTGGGATGTCCCAGTCGAGTTGAAATCCCCGATACTCGTCCATCTACGCTCGAATCGGCAGCAATTGACGATCGTCCGCATGCCTGAGAACACTGAACAGAACAATTTCAAAGAGGGCTCTCGGCTTTACCTGCTGAGTGTACTGTAGCCGCCAGTATTCTGGTACCAACCAAAGAATTATGTCCATAATGCGCTGTTTATTTTCGGCAGTATCTGCATGGAACGCACGATAGCACTTGCTCTGAGCGACCTGTTCATACACATGCAAACGCTCTCGTACGATCCCATCGGTGCCGATCCTAGCGACCGGATCGCGAACTGTGAACGCATTGGTGGATCTGAATTCCTGCTCAAACAACTAGTGGTCNCGGGGGATACCATTCATCTTTAACAGGAAGCCGCAGTGAGTGCTTCTCAAGTAATATGCACACAATTTCAATTTTCAAAATACTCGAAAATATTGAAGCTTCACTCAGGTTGCAGTATTTTTAAGAGCACATGTACATCTCATGTCCATTGTAAAGAGTGGGCGGTTCGGAGTTGCGATCGGGTTGCGTCAGAGATTGACTTGTTGGCTATTCCTCATCACTTTCTGTCAGTCAACTCCATTGCATCAGAGATCCAACATTAGACTCAAAGTCACGGGTGTATGTGGGGACTTCTTGGTTGCGGCGAGAGCAGCGTCTAGTGCCAGGCATTCTGGCAGGACCCACATAGTCCAATGAACCAGAGAGTGTTGAGTTGGCTAGCAAGAGGCGCTTATGGGGGTCCCCGCAACTTTCAGCAGTTCCCGAAATTCATTCTTCGACAACGCCCATTACTTTTGGCCGTCGCGACCGAACACCCATATCCTGCACTTTGGTGGGAATGACGCTCAGTATAGAGGAAAAGGACCTGTCAAAGGTTGCTCCTTTCAAACGTTCTGAGGTTTCATTTGAACCAAAGCCAATGATTTAGCAGAGAAATCGCTTCGTTCCTTGAGATATTTTACCTGTTAAACTCAGTCCTCATGTGGAAATTGGAAAAAATTTACAGTACTGCGAAAAATGCGTTTTTAGGCTGCTCTAACAAGTTATTCATTGTAAGTCATTCATTCCTAAACCACAGATCTTACCTCCTTTGTCGGATGAATGTTGTGGCATTTTTAAGACCCGTTGTAGCGACTGAATCGACTTTGCCGCGTCGCGGAGCTCTTCGATTTCAGTTGACATATCTTCACCGCCAGAATCGGAGTCGTCCTGGAGAATTTCCTGTTTCAATCATGTTATATTAGGCAGTGATGAAGGGGTCTTAGATCATGTTTTCGAGCAGGGTTCATCGTTGTTGGGGTTGCGCAACAGGAAGGGGGGGGTCGTATTTCCCTTGTGACCTTCTGAGAGAGGTTGCTGACTTTTCATGGTTTTTCCTGTTTCAGGTGTCCCCCCCCCCCTCGACAGCAGAATTATTGGGTTAAGACAGGGAAATTCTAGGGAAATTCCGGAAAAAGTGACAGGAAGTTAGGGAAAACTAAGAAATGTTAGTGAGGATGGCGGCGGGGGAGGTCGTA